ATGGGGGAACACGGTGAGGCTTCAAGAGCCTCCTGCCACCCCCCAGTGCGCTCTTTGCCTCGAAGCTTTGAGATGTGAGCTTTTAGCTGTTCCCGCCACCACGCCCGTTCTTTGCCATCGCGGACTCTAACCCTCCAGAACTGTAAGCCCAGTTAAACACTTTCCCTTTCTCCCCGTCTTTTGTCCACACACCTTTACTTGCAGTGTTCACTGTAAAGAGTCATTGGTCTGGCTCATGGCCTCTGGTTTTCCCTCACTGGCACTCCTTTCTGGATATCCTGTTGTTGCCCTGTGTCGTGGCAACTCTGAGGCTGTGGCCACTTCATGCGCTCCCACAGATCCCAGATGGGGTGGATATTGGGGTAGGTCAACTCATAACCCTGGTTCTAGACCTGGGTAGTTGCAGGGTTGGTCGGCAGCCAGTTCTCTCCCATCCTCACCACCAGGGTGAGCTCTCCAGCAGTACCCTGGCTAGTTCACCCCTTGTATCAATGAGCAAAGTTCCGGGCGGTTCTCCTGCTTTCACACCCTCCCTCGGGGTCAGCTCTCCCACACCTACACCATCAGGGCAGCTCTACTGTGTTGCCCAGGTGTGGCATAGGGGCCACTCTCCCTAGTGCTGCAGCTGGTAGGGCAGTGATAGCTCCCCTGCTCTTAGGACCTCAGGGCCAGCTCTCCCACCTGCCACAGGCTGCGAGGGACGAGGGGAGGGGAGGGCATCTCTCCCCCGCCCACACCACCATATGGCAGATGAGGGGCGTGGCCAGATCTCCCATGCTCATGTTCTCGACCCGCTCACCTGTATACACACACACACACACACACACACACACACACACACACACACACACACAACCACCCTCATTCTCCCCCATTCCGCCTCCCCCTCCCAACCCCCGCCCATCCCCCATCAACAGGATCAGCCCTGCTGTGCTGTTCAGACAGGTACAGGGATCGCTTTCCTGAGTGTTGTAGCTGGTAAAGGGGAGGGTCAGCTCCCTTACCAGCTGGAGACAGTAGGGGCAAGGGGGAGGGCATCTTTCACTTGCTCCCACCACCACACCACAGATGAGGGAGGTGGTACCAGTTATGCCCCTCTCATGACCTCAGGGCTGGCTCACCTGTGCCGGTCTATAGGGTCAACTCTACTGTGTCACTCAGGCCAGGGGCAGGGCCTGTTCTCCCTAGTGATGAAGCTGGGGAGGGTTTGGTCAGGTCCCCCACCTACTGCAGGTGGTAAGAGGACAGGGAGAAGGGCATCTTTCCCTCACCCATGCCACCACATGGCAGACAAGAGTGGTATGACCTGCTCGCCCATTCTCATGCCCTCAGAGCCAGCTCACCCATGGCCCCTGAGAACTGGTTCAGCTCTATTGTGCTGCCCAGAGAGGTGCAGGACCCTCTCTCCTGAGTGCTTCAGCCTGCGAGGGGCAGGACCAGTTCTCCCTCGTGTTGCAGCCAGCAAGCGGCTTACAACTCTGTGCAGCCCTATTCTCTCAGCCTTCAGTGGTATCGGGAGCCACTGCCACCAACACAGACCATGAACCCCAGACATGGACCCCAGCAGCAGCCTTGGCCAAGACATCACCATGGCCCTGGGTGGCAATCAAGCTACCCACCTTAGCACGCTCCTCACTGGTTTCACATCTTCAGATATGCCTCTGTCCACAGGACACCAGCCATTCTGTCTTTCTCTCTCATACCACCCCATACATTTGCTCAACATAATAGTGTCCATCTGCTCAGTGCCACAAGGCACCGGGCCGGCCATGTTTTCTCCTCAGAGCCAGGGGCAATCTTCGTATGGGTCTCCTTGTCCTGCTCAATCTGTCATGGTGCTGGGCAGGACTATGCTTCCTCCTTGGAGCCAGGGGCAGTCTACCCAACACTTTCTTTTACAAGTTGCCTTGGTCAAAATATTTTATCACAGCAATAGAAAAGTGACTAATACAGATGATTGTACCAAAGAGTTGACTATTGCTGTGATGGCCCTGACATGTCAGTTTTGAGTGAACGTGGAAGATGTTGGGATTGTCGACCAGATTAGATGGAGTGACTGGGTCTGAAAAGTAACCTCCTCGTGGAAGGTATTTCCTGGGCTAGTGTGCACAGTTCATCTGGTGCCTTCTGCATGATCCTTCTGACTCTCAGCCCCATGGACTACTCAAACAGAACTGTGAGCCACCACCATGACCATTCTCAAGGGTTAGTATGGTTCAGTGCATCTTAGTATTGTCAAGTGTGAGTCTCACTAGTCAAGTTTGGGTCCCTTTCAATGAATATTTGTTGAGCCTGCCTTATAGGTCCTTGTTACATGTATGCTGTCTACAGTCCTCCACGGCAGGGGTCATCCGGGAAGTAGTCAGAATGCAGATGCTCAGGCTTTCTGCTGGAGCTTCTACAACACAGCCTGTACCTCAGCAAACCAGGTGGTTTCTATGAATGTTAAAGCTGGGAGTCCATCACATGAGTAACACAGAGAAGGGGAGAGAGCACCCACTTAGAAGTTCACATCCTAATTGGGAAGATAGGGCTGACAGACGTGAAACAATGGGGCAGAATGCAAGTGATCATCACCAAGCACGTTCCGGTAACTAAGTCATTCCTCAGCTATGCACGGTCACTGAGACTCAATGTCTCCATCTATAAAATGGGGACATGTTTCCTGTCTAACTTAAAACAGAAGACGGGAAAGTGCCACAATGCCACAAGGCACTTTTTTATGATACATAGTCTGGATGCTAGAAAAATTCAGAGATGAGAGAGCTCAGGACACTTGGAATAGTGTTGAAAAAATCCAGCCAAGAGGGCAGGGGAGACTGGAAGTGTGGAGCCAGGCACTAGAGGAAAACAAGATGGAAAAAATGTGCACTCTGACCGGCCCCTAGACCTGACCACAGGGAGCACCCACTGACCACCACCCACCAGCTGCCTTCTGACAGCCTGGAGAATGTCAGCACCACAGGTCTCAGACACACAGTGTCAATGGGTGCTTTGCAAAGGACACAAAACCAGCAGATGTGGTCTTTGTGGCGAAGCTGGCAAGAAGCCCAGTTATTGTAAATCATCGCTGTGGTTCAAGGTACAGGGGAGAGGACATTTTGTCGTTTTGCAGGGCTGACCTGTGAGCATGCCCAGACACTTCAAGCAAAGAATGGGAGAGGTAGGAAATCAAGGGGTGAGTTCATGGGCCATGGTTCTGGAAAACTCTCGTAAGCCTTTTTATACAGTAGATTTTGTCTTTCATTTGTCCCATGCTTATGTCAGGAAGGGGTTATTGCTTTCTCATAAATGAGAAAAAAAAAACAACAAAACTTGCAGACGTGGGATTTGAACCCAGATTGTTCTGCAGTCAATGAATCTCTGGCCTGCCCTGAGCAGTAGGAACAACGCGTAGTTGGACTTTTGTTGTGAAACCTGCTCTCCAACTTGCTGATGGCTGCCATGCTTGCCCTGAGCTTCTCCAGAGAAATGCTGTCTTTTGGCAGGAAAAGATAAAAACGACTGATACACATGAGTCACCACTTGCTCTGATTAACGATGATGCAAGAGCCAGATGCAGAAGAGGGGCCTCCAGACCTAGCTTTTAGGCTGTCCTGACTTTGAGCTGCAGAGTCTCTGCAGCTAAGTTCCTTTGTGCTCGAGATCCTTCTAAATGAAGAAATGAAATCTGGGATGCACGCAAGCTCTAAGATAATGGAGCTGAGAGAGGCCGAACAAATTCACGTCCTAATGATCTAAAACCGTACACCAGAACCAGAAAGAGGGTTTACAGATCACAGAGAGTATAGCTCTTTGCTTTCAAACTCAGCTGCCCTGGGAGTCTAAGCAGTTTCCCACCTGCTAAGATGAATCACAGCAGCTTCAGCTGTAAACTCAGTTGTACTAGATGTTCAGCTTCTGCCCTCCTGATCCTGGGAAGGCATCAGTGAACTTTTCAAAAATGGCTAGACCTCAGTAGATGTCTTCAGTTGGTCTGCACATGATACAGTGACTATTTGATTAAAATAAGCCTTGAACCACAATGCCCACCACACTGTGAGCAAGCCACCCAACCATCCCACAAGAGCAATCTCTTCATGGTGCAAGGGAAAGATGGCACCCTGTTACGCTGAAAATAGATCATTCCCAAAGCCCAACAGAAAGAAGTCAACTTTGGTCAGGGATCTGGGTGGGCCATTACTGGTAGCTATCAGTGTTGATGGCATGATTACCTGTTTAAAGGAAGTTCAGCTGACCTTGAGATTCAAACATAATACAATAATAATAGACTCCTGCATTTTCTTTTTGAATAGACTTTAATTGACAGCCAAGTGGGAAAAAATGCAGGTTACATTTTTAGTATTACCATTAATACACTGTAAGATTGACATCCACACAGTGATGTATCTAATATCCATACACCTCCTAATTTTAGTTGACAAAGAGCACATCATATATACATATATATTTACACAGTATTTCAAGCAACAGTAAATAATAAACTCCCTCCCTTTAAAAAACAACAACAACAACAACAACACACACTCCTTTAAACAATGGATTTCCTCACAATAATATATCTTTTTTTCCCACATACTTGCAGAGTCACAGATACTTAAGTTACTTAAGAACAGTCTTCCCAGTGAAGATCCTGGACCAGCCCCTAGTTTCCTTTAAAGTCATTTTAATTTTTACAACTTGCAACCACAGAGCCAGTGTGGTCTTTACACTCTAAAGACACCCCAGATGATGAAAATGAGTTCTTCCACTCCCTTTGCATAAAAAGGAAAGTACTTCTCTGAAGATGTTCCTAATTACAACTAAAAAATAAATCAAAAACATTTTTCAAAAAAAAATCTCTGTTCTTTAAACATTATCTCTTAAGAGCACAGTGCTAATGTTAACAATGAATAACTGAACAGGAAGGCTCCTCAGGTTTCTACACAGAGGTTCTGGTTAATTCTAATCCACTATTCAGTTACTTGAAACCTATGAGCTCTGAAAGCCGCCTGGTAGAATTTCTGCCTTCCAGGATTCCAGGTTTGCAGCCTGACCTCTGGAATTCTCGGCGATATTTGCCCCCTGGTGCCTTGCTCTCTGATTTATTTCTTTCTAGGGCTGTTAGTGAAGGTTAACCACGACAAAGTTTACATTAGCAGACACATACACATGCCCTGGCCTATAAATATCCCATGATGGAAAATGGAACAATCGCTCCAATCCTGGTGAAAATGTGCAGAATGGAGAAGAGGAAGGTAGGGGGACATTATGAACAATGGCTCTTCTAACGGTGGAAAACTCAGACCCAATGGCAATGCGCTTTCAACTAACAAGTCATCTTGAGCCATTTTTTTCAGGCCTGTGAGTTAGCCAAGAGTAGGTGGAGCACAGGCTACTTCCGGCAAACCTGACAGGATGTGGTCAAACACGTGTGCTGTCTGGGGAGCTGGATGATGATCCACTATTGAGTCGTTTTGTAGGTGAGTGGGGAGGAACTTCAAATCAGATTTGGAATCGGTTTGCACACTGTCCTGCCTGGGATGCTGAACTGTCCCCCGGTCGGAGCCCTCAAAGCGCCAGCTGGAGTTTGGTCATGTTTCTCTGGTGCATGTTGTGGTGGCGGACTAATTCGTCTGACCGCGCAAACTTTTTCTGACAGCTGTGCCACCGACAGCTGAAGGGCTTTTCACCTGTGGACACAGTTGCCAGTTAGAGACTCGTGCAGCAGAGTGACGGGGCGCAGGTTCAGCTATCAAAGGCCCGAGTTAAATCACCACAAGACACCTGCCCTGGACTCCCTTGGGTCATTCCCTAAGCTAACCAACTGGCTGGCTCTCCACTGGCAGCCCGAGATTAGCAACGCCTTTTGAGGGCTTGCAAACCGGAAGCACTGTAAACATAACAAAATGGAAAATTTGGGAAATGAAAGAGAAGTCGAGTTTGTGGAAATCTAAGCAACTCATAAATTAAGAGGGTTTAGGAAACCTCTGTTCCATCTCTAAAAACACTCTGTGACCGATGCAAATGTTTCCCTGTTGCTGTCTAGGTGGGACCTGAGCTGCAAGGGTCTGAACCACTACCCTGGATACTGTTGGTTGATGGCTGCTCTGGACCACTGCCCTAGATACTATTGATTTAATGGCTGGTCAGCAATTGATCTGGGACTGAAGCTTTACCATCTCTACACAGATGATTTAAAATAAATCGTGGGTACAAGTTTGTATCCTATTTGATTCTTTTTAGTGCAAAGGATGACTCAGAACCGAGCTGTGTGGGAGGGGAGATTCTAGCTGCAGCACTGGTTCTGCCATGTGATTAAGACTGTTCCATCTCAGGAGCTCTCATTCTCACGAAAGACAATACATAGCTTGTATGTAATGCTTAACATACAGGCATCACTCATACATGTATATTCATTGCCTTGTATGTTTCTTAAAACAGCCTCATAAAGAAATGTTACCTTCACTCTACAGATGAGGTTGCATGGCTGTTGCAGATATATCCAGGCAGGATTCAAACCCAGGCATGTCTAATCCTGAAGCCTGCACTCATTCCTATATCACACCCCCACCCCCAGGGCTTGCTGAGGAAAATGGCACAGGGGCTAAGCCCTGTGCCGCCTGGAGGGTCTTCCCAGGGTATTGATAGTCCCACTGAGAAATTCCTCAGGAGATGGGGTGTTTTGAGGCCAGACTGGGTGGCTGATCAACTATGGCATCAAGTAGTTTGTTGGTGGCACAGGTTTGCAGGCAATGAGGTGTGTAGGGGACAATCTCCAGACTATGGGCTTGGGACTAAAAGACAATATATCAAAAATGCCTGAAGAAGGAGAATAAGACTGGTATCTCTCCAACACTGGGGCACAGGTGCTTTGATGATATCTTAAGGTATAACCTGTCTGCTGAGGACTGGGAACTTCCCCAGAAACTTACAACGCCATGGCCTTCTCACTGTCCATCTGCTTTTCCTGATCTGGTTCCTGCCTGCCACTCTTACCTCCTCATGGGCACTTTTCAACTCTTTCTCATATTGGTCCCCTCAGTGGCACTCAGCTTGACTGTTCTGGCTCCTTCTCCTCAATTCTCTGGCTTCTCGGGCTGGCTATCTAAACACATCCCTCTCGGGATGAGGTGGGGCAGGCACAGTCACCACTGAGATTGCTATCCAGTTGCTCTGTAGCTCTGGGCAAATCAATTAATCACTCCCCATCACAGACTCGTCTGTTAAATGAGGATTAAAAACAGCTACCCTACTCCTTCTTCCAAGGATGCTGGAAAGATGAAGAGCTACCCTTCATCTTTTGCCACATCTCTGCTTCCTAAGGAAGCACGCGTACCACAAGGGTGGTGCCATTTTCACTAAGAATCTCATCAGCTTTGTGGACAAGCACAGTGCTTCGGCAGCCTGTGGCTACACCAATGCCCATTCTCCTCTCTGTGCTACTGTAAAGGAAATCTAGCCGTGAGTTTGTACTAATCTGGCAGAAACCCAGACTCCTCGCGAGGCTCTAGGCACTTACTCTCCAGTCAGGGCTGTAAAACAAGAGCTCTCAGAAGAATAGAATGTCTTGAATTTCTGATCATGCTGTAAGATTGATTGTTCTTTCAGTAATACAGCAAACTGGGGACAATGGGGATCAACTTATCTTCCCACCTTTGTTCTGAACCCCCTGGAAATTCTCTTCCCATCTCTTTCCTACCCAGTGTTCTCCGACCCTTTCTCTGAAAAGCATTATCATTTATCATGTACAGGTAGCTAGACATTGCCTTTCTCTAAATGGATTCTCAACTCTAGAATTCCTACATGAATCTCATTACAGTTTCATTCAACAGTAGCTTTAAAAAATAATGAAAAATAAATGTGAAGAAAAGTTTACGCACTTGTTTTACCTGTATGAGTCCTGGTGTGGGTCTTCAGGTGGTCGGACCGGGAAAACTTTCGCTGACAAGTTTTACACTGGAATGGTTTCACACCTAAACGGACAGAGAAGGTCTAGCCTCGGCCCTAACAATGCGGGGCACCATGAGACACATAAGGCCGGCATTCTGGCAGCTGGAGAAGCCTGGTGTATCCATCACATCAGCCAGATCTGTGTCTACCTGGACCTCACATTTCCTTGGTCCCCAGGCCCAGCAGAAGTCACCTGATTCTGTCCAGCAACCTCCAGGTGCTGCTCCTGACTTGGGAAAAACCATTTCCTAACCTCAAACATCCAGTTCTCACCAGCAGACAAGGATTAGAGACTGAGGAGGTGGATCTCTGCAAACTGGCTCCTCTCCATTGCCCTGCTTCCTAACTGAACAGCAGCGGATCCCCAGCCTGCTGCTGTGGGATCCCCCGTGTGCTGTGGTTCTCGTGAGAAACAGGAGCTGTTTCCTCTCTTTTCTCTTTCTCTTTTGTAAAGAAAGACTTTTTTATTTATGGGGTGTGTGTGTGTGTGTGTGTGTGTGTGTGTGTGTGTGTGTGTGTGTGTGTGATGTGTGTTCAGTGCCCTTCGAGGCCAGAAGAGAGTGTCAGATCCCCTGGAGCTGTGGTTACAGACATTGCCAAATGTGGATGCTGGGAACCAAACCCGAGACCTCTTGAAGAAAAAGTGCTCTTAACTGCCGAGCCATAGTCTCCACAGCCCCTCTCCTTTTTAAAAGGCAAGTCTCCAGGTGAAGGGAAGAGAGTTGGAAAATTAAATGGACAGATAGATCGATCACCCTCTCGTCCGTGTTCAACAGAGAAGACAGTCACCAAGTCAGCCCTAACCCAAGGGGCTGTGACCGCTAGCGATGAGAAGTTAACCTACAAACCTGTGTGTCTCCTTTGGTGTCTTTTGAGCTGGTCTGAGCGAGAAAACCTTCTCTCACAGTCCTTGAAGTCACACTGGTATGGTTTCTCACCTTAGGGAAGACACACGTTGTTTCTGAGTACAATGTTGGAAACATGACCCCATCACAGGCAAACCCCTCCTAAATGCAGATGAATGGATCCCCAAATACTCAAAGCACTTTCGGGGAGCTTGTTAGGGTAGTGCTGTAGACTTCCAGGAAGATAAAAATCCCACTTACACACATGCCTATGGACACAGGGGGGAGTGGATGGGATGCTCTGGCACTTAGAATGTTGGATGTGGCACAGTTCACTCGCTGTGAAATAGAGTCAATAATCTGATAACTTCAAAGGGTTCATGAGCAGATTAGACCAGACCATCCATGTTGAAGGGGAAGACTGGTGCCTAGCGCTGAGGCCATGCTCAAAAAATACATGTATTAGCAGAGACTACTTAAAGAAGTGAAAAAAGAAAAAAGTTATGAGTCCTTGGTTGAATCTGAGATAGAATTTTGGATAGACGCGCCTTGAGGCTGGCCTTGTGAATTAAGTGTTCCATGTTTTACAGCCTGAATAGCTGGTGTTCTCTGCTGCTGACTGCTTGTTCTTGGGTCCAACATAAATGACTCCTTGGTGGTGAGACACCTCAATTAAACCAGAAGCCGAAGCATCTAGCGAGATTGTTGTCTTTTAGTCTGAGCAGGGTCAGCAGCAGGATTGTGCAACCCTGGACTCAGAAAGAAGGGCCACACCCCTGTAGCCAAAGGAAAAGTTCAGCCAGACACCGAGAAAAGAGGCCCCTGGAGTGCATCGCGCTTCTGCAAGTGTCCCCACCTCCTGGAATTCTGAGTCACTGAATTCTGGGATAGAGAGCAAGCTTCTCGGAGGTCAGCAGAGTCTGTCCTTTGACGGACAGCTCCGAGTTGCCTTTCCTGCTCAGAACCTCTGATACTTCCCTGGTTTTTCTACGTGTCTCCTGTAGCTGACCTCACCACTCCTGAGCCCTCCTCGCTCAATGCCCTTCATCTTTATGTCTCCGTTCCTACCCATCAAAGTGTTAACCACACGCCCCCCACAAATGCCACTTGCTTTGCCATGCTACCTTACGGTTTAAATAGGAAATGTCCCCCACGGGTTCATGCACTTGACCTCTTGGTCTCAAGCTCACAGTGCCGTTTTGAGAGGTGGTAGAACCTTTAGGAAGTGAAACCTAACAGGAAAAAGTGGGCGTGGCCCTTGAGGCTTCTAGCCTGCTACACTTCTGGCTCCTATGTCCTGTCTGCCTCTGCTTCTTGGTCCGGAGATGTGAACAAGCAGCCTCACGCTTCTGTCCCCAAAGGGCTAGCGATGCTCCCACCACCATACCTTCCCTGCTGTGATAAACTGTGCCCTCAAACAGTGAGCCAAATGACCATGTGTCAGGTGTTCAGCGACAGTGGTGAGAGAAAGACCTAGTACAGCCTGCTTGGAAATCTAATGGCCTTCTTTATCACAGAATTAATTCTAGAGCATCTAAGTGTGTGTTTGGACCCACCCTTCAAAGTCTATGATGACTCTGTCCATCAGTCTCGGAGCCATCTGATTGTACTATCTATTCCAGGTCTGTCTTCCCTGCTAAAGATGCTGATGGTCCCTCAGAAGTAACACTACCACTTATTCAGGCCTCGAGACACAGGGTCCTAGGCTACAGCTCCTATAGTACAATTTGATTCCATTTTCTCTTGGCTTAAGAATTGTACAGTGTGGGCATGATCATCTTCATTGTCCATACAAAGTACTTGGAGCTCAAAGGGATGTTGAGCAATTGGCTCAAGGTCTCACCAGTTGGCGGTGAATGCAACTTTCAAGCATGCATCACCTTTCTTCTATGGCATCTGCTTTCCACCACCCTGCTCTGCTTTCCGGAAGATGGCTTACTGAGCTCTTTAATAAAGGATGGGAAACCAGCATGCAAATAGCCCTGCACTTTGGCCAAGCACCCCGGCCTGACCTTTGAAAGTGCCTGCCTTCCATCCTACAAGTCCAGAATGGGAGCCCACGAACCACCATCGCTCAAGTCTGGACAGGGGACACACTTACCAGTGTGCTTCCGGCTGTGCATCTGTAAGTGGGACAGCTTAAAATATCTCTTATTGCAGCCCGGGTAAGCACACATGAAAGGACGTTTCTCACTGGTCTCAGATGCTGACCGGACAAGAGTTGGGGCCACTCCAGACACACGCCGCACATCCTGCAGGCAAAATAGAAGAGGAATGGAGGCCTTGTGCCACACGTGAACATTCATGTCAGTCCCATGGGAAACTGAGTACTGAAATATATCAAAAGAAAAAAAGGCAGGTATGGTATGAAACCAAAAGAATGTTTGCCTCCATACCCTGGATGCCTGTGGCAGACATCACTAATGGATGATAGATTAGGAAATTCTATGATGCGGTGTTCTTATGTCGTTACTGCTGATCACCAGAACTTGGATTTGAAATGAAGCCTCTTTGGGGTCCCTGACACGAACCTCTAGAGAGGAAGCATCAGTGTCTGGAAAAGTTCCTAGTCCATCTCTCACTTGTGACAGTAAGGTCTAGAATCCAGAGTCCCAGACAGTATGTATGCCCTCCCAATTGGAGACTTGACCATGTGATTATGGACTCAATAAGAAAATGGATGGGAAAGTTCTTAGTAGAGAAAGACATGAGACACTGAGTGAGGCCCAGACTGACCTGAGCTTCACATTTAAATAGATGATAAAGAAGTCTCTGGATTTGGGGCCTCTGAATCCACCAGAATGCTATAGTATAATCTGTGTATTCTTCAGCAGTGACACAGGAAAACACTGGAAGCTATCGGCCTTCTGTGTTCTTCCCATGTCCTTCCCACAACACTTACTGGTTCCTGTCACCTAGCAGGGAAGGCAAAGCTCCTTTCTTGCCCTCAGGCTCAGTGGTTCCTGGATAGCAGGATGGTTCCTCCTTGTTCAGTTACAAATGTTCCATCAGGGCCAAAGAGATAGACTGCTGACTGACCCAGGAACACATCTGTGAGGGTATAAAGACCTGGAACAACCTCTAAGCCAGAGGTTCTCAACCTTCCTAATGCTACAGCCCTTTAACACAGTTTCTCATGCTGTGGTGACCCCCAACCATAAAAATATTTCATTGCTACTTCAAAACTATAATTTTGTTACTGTTATGATTCATAATCCGATATGTTAACTCGAGGGGTCACGACCCACAGATTGAGAACCACTGCTCTTAGCTCAACAACTTCCTATCCCGTGTGTCTTCTGATCTACCCACACTCACATTCTTGTTCCTAGTTCACCTGCCTTGCCCTGAGAGGGCACTTTCTTTCTTGTAAGAAAAAGCTCTGTAATGTCATACCATAAACACTATTGGCATGTCATAGTACGCCAACCATTTGCCTTTCTCCCAGGGTTAATGGTAGTATACAAGTAAATGGTAGGCCAGTGGTTTGTTTGGCATATTCTAGAAGAAAAAGAGTAAGCAGGGAAATAACATCTACAGGGAGTGAAGTCTAAAAAGGGCCTGATAGTGGATCTGATAAACCGAGTCTGGTGGGAAGGAAGGTGAATTTAGCCTCTTTTAGCTTTCCTCATCCTATATGAAGAGTATGTAGGACTAAGACTGAACAGCAGCTGCCACTGTCAGTCTGCAGTCTGGCAAAGGATGCTGATGATGTCTGTTGCGAGACACTCGGATGAAACTCTCGGACGAAACTCTGTCCCATCTCCACATTTCTGTGGCTCGTTTATTTATCACCATAGAAAGGCTTGGGATGACAGAGCACATTGATTTCCATGAAGTGGGGCTCCTCGTCCATATTACACAGGGCCCGGCCCTCATGCAACTTATTTCCAGGGTCTTAACTTCCCTTGAAAGGATACACTAGTTATTTCTCTTGTGGCAGTCATTGAGTTGGGTTTGGAAGTCACAGATGGGAGTCCTCAGTAATTGTGTTTCGGACCACCCAAAAGAGGCTTGGGATGGGGGTGGGGTCTCCCCTGAATAACCCACATTCTCTGAGACTCTCTGCTCACCCTGGAGACCTCTCCCTCCTGTTTCTTCTAATAAACAATATTAATAATCAAACTAAAGATTGTGGAGTCCAATAAAATGTATATCACACATCTCAGCTCCCACTTACTAGCTGTGTGGTTTAGACAAGCCTCTTGTCTTCTCTCTTCGGTTTCCCCAACTACAAAATGTCTACCTCTTAAGTGCGCAGCGGGACCACATCAGAGAACAATGGCCATGTAAAGGAATCATAAACGCACATTGCTAAGTCAAAGAAGTTAGCCTGAAAATGCAACGGAGTATCCAACATTCTGAGAAAGGGGCAGTGGTTGTTGGAGAGAGAGAGAGGGACTGGAAAGAGCCATGATATACAGGTGGTAGAGTATGAGCATTTTTGAGACAGTGAACTATTCCATATAATAATAATAATTAATAATAATAATAATAATAAATGACATTATATGTGTATCAAATCCCATAGGACTACACAACAAAGCAATTCAGTTAGCAACGATACACCAACATCCATTGTAACAACTATAGCACACCAGAGGACATTACGGGAATGTGATAGCAGGAGCACATAGGAACACTATAATTTCTGTGCATGTTTTGTGTAAACCTAGAAGCTAGATAAAGTCCGTGTTTTTAAAGGCTGTGTCTAAATCTCACTTCATAGAACATGTCGAGCCATAAGTGGACATGTTCATGCTGTTATCAACACTAGGCAAGACAGTTCACCTTTGAGCACTTGACAATACAGATCAAATCTTAGAAGTCAAGGGTCCAGGTCACCAATTCAAGCACAGATGACCCACCTGCAAGCATTGTACCACCCACCGTGGAGAAGCAAAACTAATAATAAAGGAGGAAAGGATGGGATTCTGCAGGCAGTAGCTTGGTCAGCCAAGACAACATCTCTGCAGGGGTGGAGGGAGGGAGTGCCTTGCTACCTCCTCCCCATGGAAGAGGAGCATCTCTGATAGCAAACACTTGCCAGGACCAGGTGGTCATCAGCAGAGGCTGCAGGGCACGTGAGCAGAGGAAGAGGCAGGGAAGGCGGCCTTTGGCTGGACATGCTAGCACTCACCTGAATGCCTCGGAAGACGCCATGGGTGTGTATTCTGTACTGGGCACCACAGAGGATGGGTGTTGTGTGGGTCTCACTCTCATACCCTGTGCTGTGGCTGCAAACAAAAAGTTGAAGTTGGTTCAGGGCCACCTTTTGGAAATACTGTGTCTTACCTTCTTCTGTGGGGTCACTCTGGAACAGAGCTCTGTGAAAGCAGAAGCCAGTCCATCGATGTGTTAACCACCTTTCAGCCACCACTCCCGTTCCAACCAAAACTCGCCCCCAGAGGCAAATTGTCTGGGTCTGTGCTTTATTCAGACAAGCCAAGAAAAGCCACAGAGGCAGGAGCTCATCCCAGGCAAGTTGTTTACCATCTGAGCAGCAAGCTGACAGTGTGAGTATCTCAGGAATGAGCAGAATGCCTCAGGCTTCATGTGAAGTACACTGGGGTTTTGTCAGCACCTCATGACTCAGTTCTTACCAGATAGCACCAAGAAAGTGATGACATTTACAAGAAGAGATGTCACGTCCTCAGAAGGGGGTGGGGGGTGCACGTCTGTGGCTCCACTCAGTCCACTGATCAGTTTTCCAGATCAAGTTAACTGTGTGTGTGTGTGTGTGTGTGTGTGTGTGTGTGTGTGTGTGTGTGTATGTGTGTGTGTGTGTGTTCCAGTGTGTGCATTATATGTGAACATGTATTTGTAGGACCTGAATAGATATCCTGTGTCTTCCTTGGTCTCTCTCCACCTTATTTCTTTTGTGACAGGGTCTCTCACTGAACCTAGAGCTCACCAGTTCAGCTAGGCTGGCCACACAGAGATCCCCAGGGACCCCTGTCTCCACTTGCCCAGTGCTGAGATTACAAGCACACTTGGATTTTTACATGGGTTCTCGGGGGTTGACCTGAGGTCCTCATGTTTGCATACTGCCTGAGACATCTCCCCTCCCCCAGATTAACTCTGTGTGGTCATCAATGAGTGCTGGACAATTGTCCTTCATTCCAGACTGATTCACCTCCTAGGAAATGCATTGCTCTGGGGTAAGAAGGCCTGGGGGACGTGGAGCCTCAAAAAGAACAACCTGAAAAGCCAGAATGTTCTGCTCTGCAAAGACTCTCTCCTTCAGTTACAGGCCTGGAATCTTTTCTACAGTGATTTTATTTCCAATCCAGCTAGCACAAAAATTCTAGCCCACACTGCAACATATCAGAATTATATTGAGAGTCATTGTGGGGATGGCGATGAATCAGCTTTCATGCACATCTCTGTGAAAGGAGGCAGTTACTTCAAAAATACCTAGAAGTCACACACACACACACACACACACACACACACACACACACACACACACACACACAAATAGCTAAAAGGTGGCCATATTACTCAGAAATCCTAGGTGTATTCCTAAGAGAAATAAAAGCAGATGTCCAAAAAAAAGACGTTTTATATACCAGAAGTGTTCTTTATTATCAAAAGCCAGAAATTAGAATCAACTCACCTATCAACTGACAGAATAAATAATGAAGTATGTTCACACAGTGGAATGCTATTTGGCAACATAGGAGTGAAGTATTGACATGCTATAGTGAGTTTAAGAACAAAGGCACAAAGACCATATGCTGCAGAATTCTACATACACAGCATGCTCAGAGTAAGCCAATCACTAGAACGTAGCTTAGTGCTTGGTTGCCTGGGATAAACTGAGTTGGGGAAAACATGGGAGTGATTACTGAAAGTGTCCTACCTACAAAGGAATGGGCACAGAAGTCTGGAACTTTATTAGAACTGTTGCATTGTATGCTCTAAGTGTGGGAACTATATGGCACGTAAAATCAATAAAGCTATTTGGAAATGTTTCATAGCAAGCTGAGCATGGCAGTGCACACCTATAATCCCAGCACTTGGGAGATGGAGACAGAAGGATCAGGGTTTTAGGCTAGCCTAGGCTACACGAGACCTTCTCTCAAACAAACAAATACACAAAGTGATAACCATAATAAATTCTGTAGTAGCATCGTTAAAGGTCTCCAAGTAAAATTAACTGACTGTCAGGCTGAGACCCTGCCCCTCTGCCTCCACTACTCCAGCGTCTTGGATCCCAGGGTATAGACAGGTGGCCTAGTCCATCAGCCCACTCCGTCTGATGGACTTGGGGAAGGCCTAGGGCTGACTCACCCCTAACTCCCCAGGGGAAAGAATTCCTGGAAGAGAGAAGTGTTTGCCAGGAAAGCTGTAGTGTCCACAGAGCCCAGGGCCACAGCAGCTGTGGGGTTTCACACTGAGTTCTGGCTCAGGCATTTTAGAAAGAAGGGTCTGTCTTCTTTGGACAGTTTGGGGAGGGAGGTGACTATTCTGTTCCCCTAGCCCACTACACCATGTCTGTATATCCCGAGTCAAGTGGACAGGGAGCCTCAGAGAGCTAAACCAGGGTCAAACATGCAAAAATTGGGGCATCTCAACTTTTTTTCTCAAACAGAATCTGCCTTTCTGACCCTCAGAATGTGCTCAGTAGGGAAGTGGGAACTGTTCCAAACACTAGGAGAGAAGCGGGGGGGGGGGGGGGGGGGGGGGGGGGGGGGGGTGACATAGTCTACAGTAGCACAAGAGGAGAGGGCCAGAATGGGCAACAGGACACTGCCTCAACAGTCTGGAGATGCTTGTTTTACTCAGCTCCACCATGGACGGGGAGCCAAATTGTGACTTGCACATTTTCTTTCATAATTCATTTAACTTTATTTTATGCGCATTGGTGTGAAGGTGTCAGATCCCCTGGAACTAGAGTTACAGACAGTTTTGAGCTGCCAGATAGGTGCTGGGAATTGAACCCAAGTCCTCTGGAAGAGCAGCCAGCGCTCTTAACAACTGAGCCATCTCTCCAGCCCCTACTTGGACATTTTCTTGAGCTGAGAGACATATATGTAGGAATCTGAATTACTCTTGAGCTCTGTTACAGGGTGAGGAGAATTAACAATCCGCACCAACAGCTCTTCTCTGGGTATTAGCTGATTTCATCAAAGGTAGAAACCGGGAGCATGAAGAACAGATTTTCATGAGGATACTTGTCCAGTGACAGAAAGTGTCAGTCACTCAAGGGAACAACTTTGAGCACTGGTCCTCAGCACCTCATGCAAGCCAGTGAACAAAAGAAGTCACTAGAAACAAGACCACACCTGCCCCTACTGCTCAGTTCTTCTACCAAGTCTGTAACTAAGAAAAACACTTGGTCCCTGCCTACTTATGGATGAACACTCATACCATCCCACATGGTAGAAATCCTGTTAAGTCAGCTTGCTTTCCAGTGTGGTTTTCCTAGAACATCAGGTTCAATACATGGGCATTTAGCTAGAGTGTTTGTGTGTGCATTCTCTCTCCCTCCATCTTCCTCTCCCTCTCCCTCTCCCTCCACCTTCCTCTCCCTCTCCTTCTCTATCTCCCTCTCCTTTCTCTCTCAACAAGGAAAGGAAAACCAGCTGGCTGTCTTGAACCATAGATCAAAAGAGGTAGAAAGCACCTAGGAAGGTCATCTGCTTCTTCCCACTCAACGGAGGAATCTCTTCTAGTTCATGCCCGTGACTGGTGACCATTTCATGATGACCATTTCATTTGGGGTCAGTTGGCTGAAACCTCCCTTTTTGCTGCCTTCTGGTGAACCATAGAGTATGTGTTATTATGTCACAGCCATTTCTGTGTATCTCCTCTGTTCAATACTAAACTTGACCTTGAGTATAGAGTCTACTCTCCTTTTTGCATGTTGTACCCTTAAAAATTATAGTATAAATATATAATTATTGTACCCTCAATAAATATAGTACCCTTAATAATAATAATAATTACAGAGCCCATAAACATTCCCAGTATGGTCTGAGTCTAAACCCTCTTCCACATGCTAATTTTTCAGTTCTTGGAAGATAGCTTCCAAGCTACAGAGTTGTGTCAACCATAACGAGGTGAAATGGAGTCTAAAGACTTTAGAATCCGGACTATAACATGAATGCAAGAGGCTAAAGATGCAGGCCTCATCCGAAGGGATTCCATCCAAATCACTCAAAATCAGTTCTTTAGTCAAGCATCTATCACTGTGGCTGTGGTCCACAGTCTGCCAGTGCTCAGGCCTTGGGCTTGGGTTGCTCAGCTTAGTGTGAACATGAGACTGCTTCTGGCATGACTAAGAATAAATAGTTCCATTGCACTCCAACCACAGTGCTCTTTCTCAGTCTAATAAAATCTCCAACTCTCCCAAATTCCATCCCTAACACCCATGAACTGAGGAAGATATCCACGGCTGAACTTAAAGATATCATTGTTTTAGGTAGGAATCTATGTTTTAGATTCTATCTGACTTGTCTCAATGAGTCATTCCCAACTGCTGAAATCCTTCAGACTCTGGATTTGGCTTCCAGAACATTTGTTTTCCATCCCCATCTCATATCATCTCTACATCTGAAAAGCACCTTCCCAGGGCTGAGGTAAGAGCTCAGTCAGCTAAGCATGTGCCACGCAAGCATGAGAAACCGAGTTCAATTCCCAGAAGCCATGTAAAAATCTAGGCACGGTGATGTGTGCTTGTAAGACCAGCCTGGGAGGTAAAGACAGATGGACCACTGGAGCTCACTGGCCAGTCAGTCCAGCCTAATCAGCAAACTCCAAGCCCATGAAGAGACCCTGCCTCAAAAAGCAAAGTAGATGATTCTCCAGGAACAGCCCTGATGTCCTCTGGTCTCCATGAGCACACACATGCACTCCAAATGCATATTCATAGACACATAGGCATGCAAGAGGTGCCCTTACTAGATGCTGATGCATATTATATGTTATATAATATATGAAAAATATTTCTCAGGGATGCTGAGGTGATGGGATTCTAGAAGATCTCTCTGTGGTACAATTTGAAAGAAGCTATAATAGAAAAATAATACACATGTAGATGGGGTCCAGTCTGTCAGGGCAGAAGTTACCCTGAGACAGAAAGGCTCATAAAGTTGATGGTGGCCCGTGTAGCCAAAGAGTGCCAAAACCCACCTGCTGGCTTAGATGAGGCCAGGCTTTATACCAGGACAAGTCTCCTTGCCACAGCCCATGACTCTGCTGTGGATGAACCAAACGAAATCAGAGTGAG